GTATTAGGTTCATTTTAGAGGTGTTGTAAGAGGTAGTGATGAGTCTGAGAGAGTGCATCAAATGAGTTCTGCAAATGAGTTCATTGTTGTTAGCCTCATTTTGCTGGTTGGAAAGAGCTGATGTATAATACTTCTGCAGTGTACTCCTGTATTCTTATTCCCTCTTCTGCTGTGTTACATGTTTTAGGGAAATGCAAGGGGGAAAGCTTCAGAATTTCAGTGTATAAGGAAAGCAGGGACAGATAATGAAGGACACTTCCACCTTTCTGGATTACTTTTACTATAGTAAGAATACTATTCTGTCTTGAAATAAGCCCCATTGACTTAGTGGAGCTTATTCTCAGGTATGCACAGGATTACATTTATATTTACACGGTAACAGCCTTTCCCATGTTGGTTCTTGCCAGATGTGCTAGATTACAACTCTCACCATCTTTCAGCCAGAGAACCAATGATTATACTGGTTGAGCATAATGGTAGTTGATATAGTTCAAGATATCTGGATAGTACCAGCTTGGGAAAGGCTGCAATATGTTAATTTTTATTTAGCTATTCAGGGCACACATATGTGTTATATACAAACTATGTACATCCATCCTCCAAACCATCTGCTTCCTTGAGGCAACTTTGAAAAGGATAATTTGAAGTGGGAAACCTCTCTGTTTCTGTGTGAGAATGAGTGTTAACTCTATTCTGATGCTCCATGTAAGTTGCATAAGTTAGCTTACATAATACACAAGTTAGGCTGCTTGGATTTGTAGACTCGAATATGTCAAGAAAGGTGACAATCTTTTCCGAGATTTAGGGACATCAGGATGAGGGAAAAAGTTAACCACTGGTTGCCGGTTGATTTCTGAGCCTAATTCAAGGTGTTGATTTTAACATTTAAATTCCTAAATGGCTTAGAGACTAGCTGTTCAAGGGGACCACCAGTCTTGTTAAGAACCTGTCCAGATGCTAAGATCTTCAGGACAAATTCTTTTGAGAATAGGATCACCTTCAAAGATGGTGTGTTGAGCAACCATGAGAAGGCTTTTTTCTCTGTTGCTATCAGACCGCTGACCTCGGAAATGCAATTACAGTAATTCCCACTCTTACTGCTTTATGGAAGAGTGTAGGCACATCTTTTCAATTTAGCCTTCTAAACCAATTTGATTATTTAGATTATTTTAGTTTACACTTATTTTACTTTTTTGTTGTTTTAATTGCTTTTAATTATGTCTGGTGGTTGTCTTGAATGAAGGCATGATAAAATGTTCTTAAATTTCTAACAAGTAAGAGGGTATCTGACATCCCCCTCCTCTTCTGTCCTCAGTGTTTCATGGCATTCTTTGTTCTCTTCTTCAGGTTCTTTTATAATTAGATGCCCAACAGTAGTTGGAAATGAGTTATTTATAAAGCAATACAAAGGTGAAATCAAGCCTTCCTGAAATACATATAACTTAAGCCCACATTAAATGGTAATTTAACATATTAATTGACTTCCAGATAAAACATAAATAAATCTTTGTCTGATAACAGTGGACACACCCACTAAATAGCCATATATTATAATAAACAAGCTTCATGCTGGAATACAGAGTCCATTTGCTCCCACTTGGCTTTGGCTAATGCATATGATTAAAGAAACCAGGGTCAGGAGCCAAAATATTTCCTTTGGATCCTGCCATTTCCATCGCAATTCGTGATCTCGTTTCCCTCCAGCAGGCTCCTATTTACCCTAAAACCTATTCTAGTGGGTGGGAAACATACTGGAGTTGGTATGTTTGTTCCCACACCTATTGGACATTTTGAAGGGCTGCAGTGAGAAAGACAAATGATGGCCGGGGACTCCTGATTCTGTTAATATTTTCTGTGGAAGTACTGTATATAGTAAGATCTTTGCCCCACATTCATGAGTGAACAAAAAAGAAAAAAAATGTTTATCATTCTGACCTACAAAGGAAGCAATGAGTCAGGTTCCTATGTTTCCAGAATACTCAGAGAAACATTCTTTAAAATTGATGTTATGTCAGCCATTACCATGTTCTAGTGCAGAATGCTTCTGTACAGAATGGGTCTCAGAGTGACACATTATTTTGTTAGATCTCTACTCAGCCGCCTAGAGTGGTCTAGTACTTATTCAAATAAATAATAATAATTTCACATTTGAGTTCTTTTGATATCTTGATTATCTGAATCTGGTTTGTTTTGATTTCAGCAATGAAGTATAGAACTTAATATTTTGTGACTACTATCTGTCTTGGTTCTGCTGGACTCCCTTAATGTTTTCAGCATTACTTGAAGGCCATTTAAGGATACAGTAAATATACTTAAAAAATGTGAAGATAGGGTTGCAGCACTTGTGCATATGCTGTGGGGTACCAGACCATTATTTCCATAACAGGCTACTCATGTGATATGTACATAACTACATAAACCACCTCTGAGTACTCTATAACTAGAAAACTCTGAAAGGGATCACAGTAAGTCAGAAGTGACTTGATTACATGTAATTATTTATTATTTTTCCATGAAAACTGAGAAAAACAGTTGACAGCACAGACTGCAAAATTTTTGCTAGCTGCTAGCAAAATAAGGACCAATATGGGTGCTCCTTAATCTTAGATTTTAGTGACTTGATTCTACCTAGTTCTATTTCATATTTGATGTGTCTTGATTTAATTTTTTGCATTTTTTTCAAACTGTGTGATAACTTAGAAAGACATATGTTTGATACAAATGAAGAAGCCTGAACTCTTCATGAAAATGTTAGTTGAAGTATGGAACCCATATCTTCTAGACTGTAGATAGATGCAAAGAATTCATTCAGCAGCTCTCCAATCTCTTTATTTCTCATTATTTAGTTGCCTTTTCATCAAACAGTATAACTACCATGCAACTAGGCTTCCTATATTCCAATTCTTAAAATCTGGATAACCTAATTATGCAGATTAAGAAGTCCTATTGGCATAATAAGCTAATTCAGAATATTAATTGCATAATAATAAAAATACATAATTATATTTTGTCATACCGAGGGGTTTCTGGTGATGTTCGCATTGAATAATTGTTGGGTGGTTTGCCATCAGTTTTTACTTACAGGAAAAACCTTACAGATCCAGAGTAACATCCTGTCATAGAGTTTATGGGACTGTGAGGAAAGTAAAGACAAACTATAAAAGTCATGGGGAGAAACATGGTGTGAATACTTTTGAAGATACAGATTAAAAAGTTATTATAATTAAATGATATCCTACCTCTATTTATTTTGCCACATTATTTACTTATAATTAAATCATATCCTGCCTTAACTTTCTTTGTCTGTTTTACTCCTCATAGCAATAATTGTTAACAGTCTCAACTATGATTAGATATCAGTGCTACCAGCCAATTACTACACTTTAATTAAGTTTCTACTTCTTGCATTTCAGTTTCCCAACCCGAATAATTATATCCTCACACCCAGGCATATGTACAACAATCTGTAAATTGAATCAACCCTGTGTGTCTGATAAAGTGGGCTGCAGCAAAAAGTTTATTATGCCAAAGACTTGTTGGTTTTAAGGTGCCACCAGATGATTTTAGTGCTTTCATAAGACAAACAGATTTCAGCCATCTGCAAACTAGTTAGGGCAGAGCTTTTCCAGAATTGCAGCTAATTAACTGGGAAAGGACGAGTCATTAATTTATAGATCTGTAATACTCTGTCAAAGTGTCAATAGCTTCACTCATTCACACTGGAAAGAGTCATTTCTTGTAAAAAAAATTGGCCCAAACAGTGACCATTTGTTATATCTTAGCCTGTATGAGGCCTTACATTCCCTTTTTAAAATAACATTTAGAATCTGGGTCAGGTGATCATTTAAACAGGCAATATATCTGTTAGGATTCTCAGTCATCCAAGTGAGGTTATCTGGAAATTAAATCATTGCAACTGGACTTCTTTCTTGTTAGGTTGAAATGTTTTGCTACTCATCCAAGTAGCTTTTTCAGTCTGAGGAGAGTTAATAGAAGATACCTGATATATCCTCCATGTTGGTTTCACTTCCCCCTGGTCTGAATAGGCTTCTTAGAAGGACAAAGGACTGGGAGTGAGGGATAATCTCACTTGTGCAGTCCTTCACCACCCATTGTCATGGGTCATTAACGGTTGTTAACAGTGATCTTTCTGGTGTATGTGGTCCTAATGTTCTTGGGGATGGTGGATGAAATGGGCCTTTAACAAGGCAGTGTCCTGACCCAGGAGGACAATGGAACAATATGAGACGCAGAGCCGATGGAAGAACCTGGTCATTTTTTACGTGGTGGGTTTGTCTGAAAAGCTCAAAAGGATTTTTGGTAAATACCACATACCCATGCACTTCAAACCCACAAACACAATAAGGCAGAGACTCGTCCTCCCAAAAGACTGGATACCAAAACACATCAGGAGCAACATAGTATACAGTATGTGGTCCAATACAAAGAGGAGCATTCAGAGCTCTACTTTGGAGAAACCAAACAGCCACTAAACAGGAAAATGGCCCAGCACAGGAGGGGCAGTGGCTCAGGGCCACAATCAGCAGTGTTCCTTCATTTGAAAGACAAAGGACACTCATTTGATGGCCAAGATGTACTCATTTTAGACCGAGAAGATAGGTGGTTTGAGAGAGGGGTCAGGGAAGCCATATATGTTCATATAGAAAATCCCTCACTCATCAGGGGTGGAGGCCTTAGATACAATCTGTGTCCTATTTATCATGCTGCCCTTCCATCTGTCCCCAGGAAAATTTGGACCACACACACACACACACCAGAAAGACCGCTGTTAGTGACCCATGAGTAGTTACAATGGCTACCAGAAGCTTTATATGGCCTAATGCCAAATCATCTGAAGGATTGCCCTCTGCCATATGAACCAGATGAAGCTTTTTTTTTGTTCACGAAGATCCATCTCAAAATCTGTATGCTGGCTGTAACTAGGCAGGTGTTGGTCCTTTTTGAAATTTGGTGCTCTGTATATGGAATGTTGTCTTCAGAGAAGGTAAGCAGGGATTAGCCTTGATGTTCTTTGGATAGGCTGGTTGGTTCTTCCGACCATTCCAGTAGATTTTGTAGCTGCTTTTAGTTTGCCATTTTGTAGGTCATCTGAGTTATGTTATATTACTTAATTTTATGACTGCTTCTTTTACTATTTGATTTTGCCCTGCAATATACTGTATATTTGCTTTATTAATTCTGTATTGTTACTACTATGAGTGTTTGCATTGAATAATTTCACTCCTCTTTTATTTTAGTACTTAAGAATATGTGCTACAACTCTGTACCATCTTGAATGCTTAAGAATGTGTCACCATATATTTGAGCATTGTGGCATCGATGCAAAAATAAATGGTGTTGGCACTAACACCTGCTAAATTGACATATTTTTATAAGAAAAGTAGCATGATCTGTCAAATGCTTCTACTTCATTAGCATCACTGCATGTTTGCTTCCGCTTTCACAAAAATTCAAGGTTTTTTTGCCAGTTAGGAATGAGTAATGGTCAGTGGAACAGTACAAGGGTCCCATTGCTCCTGTAGAACAGTAAATTCATTCCTTCTGCAGTACTGTATTGTGTATAATTGCATTATAGCTACCAGATGGAAACTATTTTATGTCACAGAGAGGCAACTCTTATCACACTGAAAACAATGTGTGTATAGTGACCTCTTGGATTGAATGTGGCTTATCATAATGAGTATGATGAAGCATGGCACAGCTTTTTAAAGGAGAGACATAAATTGGCCATGTCTTTGCCAAGGGAATAATGGAATGGTGTAGCTGATGGGCAGGATACTGGACTGATGGTTCAACAGTCTTTTCAAAGGTTGTTGTTAGGATAGTGTCTAAGAAGTCTATTGCAAAACGAAGAGAAAAAGAACTCTGATTTGTTAGATTAATCTCAGTATATCCCAGATTTACAGAGTGGTGTTTCAGTAGAATGGATGTCGGAGGGAAAATATACTATGGCCTGTTCTTCTGGGTTAAGAGAACTTTTGCATACACTTTTACTTTGCTTAGCCGGAAGCTAACTGAGAGGTAGTATTTTGATGGAAGATAAGGGAGCTGGTAGTGGGTGAATCTAGTAAAGATATTGCAGCCTATGATACTGCTTTCCTTTTTCATCATGATTTATTACTATCATCAACTTTAGTTAATGGGTGGTGTTTAAAATGAAATATGGCATTTCTTAATGTTATAGCAATAACAAAAACAAATTTATATTTAAATTAGCATTTTGACTGCTGGGTGAAATCTTAATTGAAATATCATGTTTCTCAAGGAGATTTGGAGGTCTTTAAAAACCTTTTTTTTCCACAAGAAACAAGTATTTCTTACTTTGCTATTCCTGTCATAGATCCTCTAGTTAATTGCATCAGACCCCTCATTCTAATCAGCATGTAACAGACCACTTTTGTTGAAATACAGAACGTGCAGCATTATATAATTAGTTCTCTGTGTGATTACTGAGTGCATCTTAGGTGATAATGCAAAAGTTGATCAAAGTTTAACTTATTCTGTCTGAAATTCTGTTGATTGCCTGGTAAGTTGCACTTAAATAGGCCAATTGAATCAGAGGGGATTTGGTAAGTCACTTCCTCTGTAAATTCCACTGATTCATGCGGGTTTACTCGAGTTGCAGTTAGACTAAATAGACTGCAAGTGGAGAAGATCCATTTGAATAAGTGGAAATTATGGAATTGACTCACCAAATCTCCACTGATTCAGTGGATCTACTGTAATGTGTCTTGCTATAGTCAGTGACAGGCTTTCAACTTTTACCTTTATACTCTGGCTTTCTGTCAATGAACGGCACTCAAAGCAACTAACAGTAGTAAAACAGGAGATCTTAGAACTTATCGCCTCACTAAAATCAGGGAAAGCTCCGGAACCAGATGGGATCCCGACTGATTTAATTAAAAACAATCCGCACTGGTGGGCGAAACCTCTGGCCCATCTTTTCACTCTTATTGACCATTTTGGTATTTTTCCTGATTCCTGGTTAACTTCTATCATTATTCCAGTGTTTTAAAAGGACAATCCAAGTATATGGATTAGTTTACTTTTAATATTTGGTAAAATACAGCTAATTTCCGCCCTATTAGTTTACTTTTAATATTTGGTAAAATATATGCTAAGCATCTAGTGAAATATCTCTTGGAGTGGATGACTGATCTTAGCCTGCCTGGTAAATAACAGATGGTCTTCCAAGTGGGATCCTCGACATTCGCTCACTCTCGCATTTCTAGCTGAGAAATATTATCTTCATTTCCATGGGAAGCTTTTTGTTGCCTTTATTGACCTATGAGGAGCATTTGACTCCATCAATCAATCTCTGCTCTGGAATAAACTGGCCAGCAAAGGAATAGACCCTCATCTGCTGTTCTTGGTACGTAAACTTCACTCTGACAATAGTTGCCAAGTTCGAGTCAATAATAAAGGTCTTCTGACCAAAGATATCTCAATCTCTAAAGGAGTTAAACAAGGCTGTGTCCTTGCTCCTGCTCTTTTTAATTTATTAATGTCAGATCTACAGACCATATTGCCATAATTGAACATCATGCTCCCAGGATGAATTCATCTTCTGTTCCATTGCTATTATATGCTGACAATACTGTTCTCTTATCTACCACTAAGTCAGGCCTTATACAATTATTCTCAGCTTTTGCTGATTTCTGCTCCAATAATGATCTAACCATTAACACTGAGAAATCAAAGATCCTGATATTCTCCGAATCTTGGAAACCTACCAGTTGGAAAATAAATGGGAAGCCAATAGAACAAGTGAAATCTTTTTGAGATTTGTTTGTTTTGATAATTGTTTCATTACAAATTGAACTGGTATTACCATGGTAAGGTGGCAATTTCTTTGGCTATGAATCAACTTTCTGCCTTAGTCTGCTTCCATTTCCATAGTGGACATCAGTATGTCCCTGCTGCTCTCCACGTTTTCCATGTGAAAATTACTAGCCAGCTCCTCTTTGGGGTGCCTGTTTGGATTACGGCGTCTAACTACAGGATAGACCATATAGTTGCCCTCTTTCTGCACAAGATTTTAGGCAGCTGCTCTCTAGGTTTTCCATGTGAAAATCACTAGCCAGCTCCTCTTTGGGGTGCCTGTCTGGATTACGGCATCTAACTACAGGATAGTCCATATACTTGCCCTCTTTCTGCACAAGATTTTAGGCATCCCGAATATGATTAGACTTGCAACATTATTAAGTGAACTTGAGCTTCATTTTCCAACTACCCTTACCTGGTTATCCACAATTAGGTTTTCCATGTGAAAATCACTAGCCAGCTCCTCTTTGGGGTGCCTGTCTGGATTACGGCATCTAACTACAGGATAGTCCATATACTTGCCCTCTTTCTGCACAAGATTTTAGGCATCCCGAATATGATTAGACTTGCAACATTATTAAGTGAACTTGAGCTTCATTTTCCAACTACCCTTACCTGGTTATCCACAATTAAATTTTGGCTTCGTTTACACTTTCAGAAATCTTCCCAATCCCTTTTGACTGATTTATTAAGCGATCCCTTTATCTCCACATGGTACTCTTTTATTAACTCTAAAATCACTTCCACAGGTATTAACCTGAACTCCCTGACAAATTGTGGAGAAACTCAACTTTACCATATTATCCACCAAAGAATTTGGGACATTCAACTTCAAACTCTGACAGCTGATTTGAATTCAATTTGCTCTCCTAGTTTTTATGGTTTGCCCCTTTGTCTGTAACTGGTGCCAATTATTTCACCAATCTCATTAACCCACTGTGGCGGCCGGCATTTGTGCTGGCCAGATTTAATATATTTCCCTCAGCTGTTCTTTCTGGCAGATATCGTAACATCCCCTTTAAAAACCACCAGTGTAAGCACTGCTTAGCGGAACTGCACTCAATTTTACATATTCTTCTTCATTGCCCTAAATTTAGCGAGCTCCGTCAATTACTACTCTGTTATTTCAGATTTCTCTGGCTCCCCTGAGAGTTTAATCTGAATGATGTTTGCAGATAAACAACCTGATTTGACTGAGCATGTAGCTCAATATCTTGCTATTGTAATTAACTAGGCTAACTGTTTCAAGGAGCCTTGACATAACTTGACCATATTTATCTTACTGCCATGGAAAGTATAATCTTGATTGTATGGTTACTAGTTTTAATGCCAATAAAGGTTTTTGATTGATTGATTGATAAACCACAGTGAGAAAATAGTGTTAAAAAGTAAACACTATCCAGCCAGATTTTCCTTGGCAATAAAAATGGACAACATAGAGGGCTCATTTAAGCTTCTCTCAGTGGGGAGTTCTGGAGTAAACATTATTGGATGTTCCCACCAAATATGCCACAGAAGGTGGTGGTACTGAACAAATGAACTTTCCCAAAGATTGTAAAACTTGGGCAGGATCTTAAGGGAGAGTGGCATGGACTCAAGTTGTGTAGGGCTTTGTAGGCCATTACCACACTTTAAATTAAAGGAACAGTTTTTGTGAACAATTGTTAATAGTATACAGCATAGACTTCCTAGTTCAGAAAGTTACAACATTCTAGAAGGATTTGTGCACTGATCTTTGTGGAAGAAAAAGTACTTGGGGTGGGGGAGTGAGTTGCTTTACCACCACAACCTCATTGTTGGTTCAGACATAAGATTGAAAGTATAACATTTTTCCTTCAATGCAAGATGTTCCAATTAGACCTGAAGGCTGTAAGTTTAACATTGTCATGATCTTCATCTTCTCAGTTTGTTGTGACTTATCCTAGGGAGTATATGAAACTTTAACTTACCAAGACAATTGGGAAAATGTGATAATGAGGTATACCTTAATGGCAGTTTTTAAACCACAAAGAGATAGTTATCAAAAGTGGCATATGAACTGAGACTATAAAGCAACAACTTTGTAAATCTCTTGTTTTTCTTCCTCCCTTCCCTTCCTTCCTCCCTTCCATCCTTCCTTCTTTGCTTTTGGAAGCTGTCTCCCCCACACATGAAATTTAAAATTTTTTAAATTGCTAAGGACTAAGTAGTTTGTTCATGTGGATTTTGTCAAGATGGCCATATCTATTTTCCGGATTTGGATCCCAGCACAGTAATTGATAGATATAACAGTTCAGCCAAAAGAAATCAGTCTTTGGGATCTCTGCACTTGATGATGATTTTTGTAATCGATATATTTTGCTATTCAAATCTAGCATTATTATGTTTATGTTCTTGGCCTCTGTATTGCCCAGTTCAGAACACTGTATTCTTTTCTAACAATTGTCTATGACAAATATGAGATTTTATAGTCTGAAATGTTGAGGTGAACTCCATTTGCAACAATTTGAGACCATCCTGTTTTTTTTTCAAAGTATATAATGTACCTATATTTCTTCTATTTTTCTCTTTCTAGGCTGCCTCTTTGAGGATGACCTCTGTAAATCTTTTGAAATATGCATAAATGGTAAGTATATGAATAATTGTTACATTTGGGAGAGCAGTTTACAGTAACTTGTGCACTTCAATGCATGTGTGAATAGCTGAAAATCATTTCACTAAGCAAAGCACTCATTATGCAAGCACTTCACATGTTCTCTAACAGTGATTATTATGTTGTAGAATCCATTGCTTCTCAAATGAAGAAAAGAAGCATCTTTCTTTTCGCTTCTTTATAAATACGCTGATGCTTACATACCCTGGCACCTCTCTACTTCTACAAATTCCACCATCATCTCATTTCTATTAAACAAATAAGACAACAAGAACAATTCAAAGCAATAAACATAATAGTTATAAAATAAAAAACATGAGGAACCAACAAGATTTAAGTAATAATAATCAAAATAATATAAATATTATATTTATATTATTTTAATGTAAATATGCTCATCTAGGTAGCAGCCACTGCACATGCTTCATGAGCAATTTGCTTTTTGGTGCAGACTGACCAGATCCATTTCCCAAAACATCACTCACAGTTTTATATGAAAATGAACTGATAATTGAATAGAAGATAGTAGCATGGATTCTGTGAATATTCTTTCTTACCTCTTTATCTATGAACATAACAGTAACTTTTCAGTCTATGAATATACTTTTTCATCTGTTTCTGGAAATCTTGGACTGGCACACTCTATATGTTTCACCATTTTCCTCTCCTTACTACGTTGTTCATACTGTATTGTCTGGGACTAAAAGGCTTGTTGGGCCCTCATCCAAATATTATAGTTGGTTTGGCTGGAGAAAAATGATTGTGGTATTGTTTCTGTGTAGCAGAACATGTTAATTTCAGTGCAGTAGATGGGAAAGATGATGGAGAACTGGAGGTACAATGTAAGTTGCCTTCAGGTATAAAATCTACCTAACTTTAACTTCCAAACCTTGAAGATGGAATTATCCAAATTAAATTATGTTTTAACTGACATAAGTGCTGTAACTGCATAATGGTACATTTAATTACATTTCTTATTAGGGGGAGGTTAGTAAAAATGAATTATAGTGGATCACTTTTTAGTATTTTCACGTTCAAAGTGTCACTACTCAATTACCAGGCCTGATAATCTTAGGCAATGAACGGTATTTCAAGAAAAATGAAAGGAAACAAGAAGGAGCTGTCAAAATTATAATTTATTATAAGGAAATTTATAGCAGTTTTTTTATTTTACAAAGAAATACTGGTTTTGAACCCAATGTTTTGAAATCCCTTTGGAAATTAATTAAAAATGTTAGGTTGACATAATAGAAAATCGTTGTAAGATCCTTTCACAGTGGTGTTTTATCCCTTGTGGGTTACAAATGTTTAAGGACGAAATTGGCAAATGTTGAGAGGTTTCTTAGAGGTGGTCAGAAACAGTGTACGCAGTCCACAAAGGACTGGAAAAAAGCTGATGCTTTAACCAGTCAATACAGAAGTGTTGTTGGTTAATGGAATAATTGTGCTTTGTTGTGATACTACTTTGGATTAAATTGAACTGCCATTTTAGAAATAAGTTTGCAGTTTTGTGGTGCACCTGAATCCAGGGCTTCTTCTGTATGTTTTGGTGATAGTGGCCAGAAGCAGATTTGAAATATTTAGAATGATACCCCAGCCTTCTGTTCCTCTAGAGGCCTAATTTAGAAACAAGCCTTGTTTAAGCATTTGCCTGAAAGCATGTAGAGCTCAAAAGGCGGTGGCAATGTGAAGATGAAGGCATGCCCCCTGGGGGCTGTAAGTACATGCCACTGAATACACCCTACAGTGTTTCTGTGATTAAAGGTACCAGTCACAGAAACAGTTCAGGTGGTTCAGTTGAACATGTTTACAGCTCCTGTGTAGACTTTGCTTAACATGTGAAGAGTCTGCAGAACCTTAGGGAGGAGTGGAGACACAGAGATGGGGCTTATATGCAGACACCCATTCCCACCATCCTTCAGGCCCTATGTGATAACTAATAAAACGACTGTTATTTGTTTCTTGGGATATTCAGATTTTATTATTTCAAAATGTGTTTCACATAATTACTTCGCTTTGTTGTATCTTTTCTTTCTGATACTTATGATTGATATCTTTTAAAAGTAAGGTTAAATTGTCTTTAATAGTTGTATAAATGAAAACAGTACCCCTACAACTTCATTTCTTACAGCACAATCCGAATAAAGGCTGGAAAGGTGCACAAAGTTGTAGCAAGGCTTGGAAGTTTATGTGGGAACAGACTTTTTGTCCAGCATGTTATTTTCCTCCAAGTTGGAAACAGTGAAGGAAATTGTTATTTGCATTATCGTAAGGCTGGTGTATAGGACCCTCCACCCGATCCTGAGGCCCCCATGACAAGGGTGTTTAATTATATTTGAATAGTTTCCATACTCCTGGACTTCTGTGACTGTCATATTGATTACTCAAATCATTAGTCTGTTAAAAGGGGAGGGGAAGGTTAGATTTGTTTTATGAGTATCTTCGAAATTACTTGTACAGCAGCACCACAAGGAAAAAAAACTATTCAGACTTTGGCTAAATATAATAAAAATAGCATTTCTAGTTGTGGGATGCAGAACCTTTTTGTACAAAGTAGTAATTGCTCTTAAGAGTGAGGAAGTCTGTGACAAAGGGTATGTTTTCCCTCTGTAATCTGATTTATTTTTGCTGCATGGCTTCTGATAGCTGTCATGCAGTGTTAATTTTCTTTCATAAACCATTTTATCAGTTTGCTGAAAACCACTGATTCAGAATTGGTTAAGCAGCAGTGTATTATTTTATGTTTATCTTAGTGGCCAAAGGATTCACCAAATGCGATTTTTTGGAGTGCTGTTTTCCTGAGTGCTTGTAAACCTGAAAAACTGATCTTCCCTAGTAAATATATTAATAACCTGTTTTTAATGCAGAGGCAGGATGTAATGAAGAAAAAAGACCTTGAGTAAATTGATGTAAGAAATCACTCAAGACTCTTAAAACTCTCTGTCTCAGCTATAATGGCAGAGGGCCAACATGCTAGTAATTGCACTTCAATTTACCAACCACTTTGTCAGAATCACTGTTTGGACAAACTTGGGCATTGTACTGAAGAGGCATCTTCTGAAAGACCTGACAATATTTCTCAGTTAAGAAGGATGGGAAGGAAGAGGGTAATTCTTATATTATTTATACATTACTGTACAGAAGAGTTAACAGTAAGGTTCTACTGTATTCTTTAATTTGGATTGAAAAACGAGGGAAACAGTACTATGGAAAAAGCAATTTTATTATAAATTCTTTATTGAATGGGTGACATTCATCCAGAACAAAGATGGCTCCATTCATTCCTCATTTGCATAAATAATGAAACATTTTTTGAGTTGAACAGTACTTATGAGATTTTGACTTGTGGGAAAAATGAAATAGGAAGATAGATAAAATTGGCCATCTTTGGCAAAATTTGGCTCATTGATATGTCAGCAAGAAAAAAGATTATGCTTCCATTTTCAATTTTAAGGTTATCTGGTCAGAATGAACCGTCAAAATAATTTTATAGTTTTTCTTAATGTTTGCAGATTTCTACCTGTAGAATGGGTATGGCTTTGTTACTCTTGATTCCAGCCAGCAGTACAGTTCTTCCAGCACTGGAGTTTATAGTTTTTCAGCAGCAACCATAATAGTGATTGCATGTTCCTGAATTGAAAGATTTTTTTAAAATTCATGCTCATTCATACAGTTGAATGTATCTGCCAACTAAGCCAAGCCATGAATGAAATTCTCTCTATCAAATTATTCTGAGAATGTGCTTTCTGCCCCCCCCCCCGCAAAATGAGTAAAGCACTTCTAAACTGTTCTCAAGAAATCGAGAAAATGTTTGCGTACTGGAGAAAGACTTTATATGGTCACCCATTTCTTGTGAATCTGTCTTAAAAAGTCAGTGATTCAAGGCTGTGGCTGCAGTGATATGGATTGCTTTCATGACAATGGAGACTTCTTGCCCGGTGTGTGCTAATATAGAAAGAAATAAGTCATGAGATATGAAAACAGATGTTCAAAATCATAATGGCAGGGTGAATTTTCTTAAATTCTTTTGAATGGGAAATTATTCAGGACATAATAATGTGATGACAAGGAGTATTGTATGTTACCTGACTAGGTGCAATGGCATCCCATGCCATTCTACATTTGTTTGGAGTGAAACAATACATTAGTAACATAGTTTAACAGAAAATTTCACAAATACTATTTTCAAAGTAATGGTAGATCGCTTTTGCTGACATGTTGAAGCACGCCTTTGGAACTGCAACAGAAGGTGTCTATCTCCCAACTAGATCAGATGAAAAGTGCTTCAATCTCTCTAGATTGAGAGGAAAGACCAAAGTCCAACTGAAATGCATGCGGGATTTCCTCTTCGCCGATAATGCAGCCATTGTTCCCCACTCTGCTGAAGACCTCCAACAAGTCATGAATCATTTTAGCAAGGCCTGCCAAAACTTTGGATTAACAATCAGCCTGAAGAAAGCACAAGTCACGGGCCAGGGCGTGGACTCACCTTCCTCTATTGCCATCTCCATGCAAGAATTGGAGGTTGTTCATGACTTTGTGTACTTTGGCTCAACAATCTCTGACACTTTCTCCCTAGATGTCGAACTGGATAAACACATTGGCAAAGCAGTTACCATGTTGTCAAGACTCACAAAGAGAGTATGTCTCAATAAGAAAACCTGGGCATATAACAAGATCCAGGTATATGGAGCCTGTGTCCTGAGCACACTCCTGTACTGCAGTGAGTCCTGGACCCCTTGTGCATGGTAGGAGAGGAAGCTGAACACCTTCCATACGTGTTGTTTCCAACACTTTTTTTAGTATCATCTGGCAGGACAAAGTTCCAAATAGAGTAGTCCTAGATCGAGCTGGAATTTTTAGCATGTATACATTACTGAAACAGCAACATCTACGTTGGCTTGGACATGTTGTGAGAATGGTTGATGGTCATATTCCAAAAGATCTCCTGTATGTAAAATTAGCACAGGGAA